TATATATATATATATATTAATTATAATGAGAGTAACCATCACTTAGGGGTTCACTATTAACTTCCAAAATTAAGCTGGATCCAAGCATTTCATTATTTCAAACTTGATACATAGACGTCTCGATTAGCTCACGCTCATACACAAATACAAAATTAGGAATATATTGATAAGAGAACGTGTCCTTTATAAATCACTAACAAGTATTTTATGCATCTTATATGCATTTTTTAAATTTACAAATTTTAAATATAATTAAAATACATACATTTATATACAAGAAAATAATATATTATGATAGAAAATAATATATTTTAATACAAAATGTATTTTAGAAATGTATTGATTTAATATTATATCATTAAAAAATAACATTTTAACTAAAAAAATCAAAATAATTATTTAAAAACCTAAACTTTAGAGGGAAAATTTTTAATGCACAAAAACAATAACTTTATCCCCATTAAATGAGATTCACTATATAGATCACATGACTCCATTAAACTTGGTTAAAAAATCAAATTCTCAAAGATTATTTATCATAAGATCTCCCTTTTAACATTTTTTTTCCTAATGTTCTTATGCTCTTTCTTCTATTTTTTTTTCACCAGGTTAAAAATCATGCAATTTACTTTCTTTGCTAATATCTCAAGTGACTTTTTATGCACAAGTCCAAACTACCGTAACAAATTTTGTCATATGTTCCTTGCAAATGTCATACCAATATATAATTTTAAAAAAATACAACCATTTCATTTTTTTTTTAGTTACACACTCATCTTAATATTCTCGTTTATGTTATTTTCACTTTTTCCTCTTAGTACCCCCTTTTAAGTTTAACATTTGTTGGCATAAACTATAACTAATCCTGTAATAGTATAATAAAACTTCGTTTTTAACTTGGTAGATATTTTGCAATCACATATAACTTCCAATGCCCTTCTCTATTTTAACTACCCAACTTGTATCTTTAGTAATACAGCATTAATTTTTGCATCTTTTGGTAATATTATTCCAAGATACGTAAACTTAGAATCATGTGATATGACATTCTCTATCTTTTACCTCTGAATCTTTTTTCCCTCTTATTTCTTGTTAAAAAAAATCTATACACATACTTTATTTTATTCCAGCTCAAGTGAAGAATTTTGCTGACCTAAAATAAAAAAGTAAAGAGCTTTTGATTTCAATATCTACCTTTAAAGCTCAAGTTTAAGGTAAAGCCTTTTCCTTCGTACATCAATAAGAACTATGTCATCTTTTAAAAGCATGCATTTTTTTTAAATAATAATAATAAAATGCAAAACTAATTAATAATTTAAGATAACTAAAAGTTAAGAATATTGAATAATGATAAAATCATGTATCCTAATGAGAAAAAGTACGAAAAAAATGTCTTTATTTTAAACAAAATAAAGACTTTATTTTATTATATATGGGTGAATTGTGCATAGAGCCTTGAATGTTTGTAATTCTACAACCTGATTTATTTATTTTCTGCTACATTTCCTTAAACATATTTATATTCACTGGTACTACTTATTTTCTAAGCTTTGGCCTTTGATAACACACCAAGCACTTGGCCAATAAAACTATAAAAGTATAGTCTATGCTTAAAATTCCAAGGACTGTCAACCATGTTCATCCCTCACTCAAATAATCCTTCACTAAAGTCTGCTCTGAACTGATAGCTCATGCTTCATTTGATCCCTCATTATTCTCCTCAGGATCTTGTTGGAAGATGTTCGAGGAAACTCTGGCACAATTTTAACAAGGCTTACCTGTAATGTAATGAGAAGAGTTTGTGAATGCTATATCAGCTAACTGTATCATTCCAAGTCAGGTCAGTTTTCACAAAGTAATAAACCGCAATCAATTCACAATTGTTTAAAATCAATCAAGGGTCAGACCTTAAACAAAGGGTTTAGGTTACTTTGAATAGCTTTAGTGAATTTCATCTTTAGTGTTTCTGCATTGGAATTGTATCCTTTCTTTAGAACTACAAATATAACCAGTTGCTCTGGGCCTCTATTTGCAGTTGCAACACCGACCGCAGCTGTCTCCAAAAGGCATTCATCAGCCCCATCACAGACACGCTCAATTTCTACAGAACTTGTCTGCATGTCAGAAACAGAAATTTCTAAGTGAAAAGAACGGCCAGTCCAGGAAAGCCAAAGAGCAAGGATCATTTAAGTTTAAGAACTTCTGAATATCCATGATCAGTTAGGGAGTATTCTTTCTTACCAAATTCGTTTTCAGACGGTGGATATGAAAGCTACAATAGCATTCTTAATAAGTTTAATAATTTCTGAAGACTATGCCAAAGAGCAAGGATCATTTAAGTTTAAGAACTTCTGAATATCCATGATCAGTTAGGGAGTATTCTTTCTTACCAAATTCGTTTTCAGACGGTGGATATGAAAGCTACAATAGCATTCTTAATAAGTTTAATAATTTCTGAAGAATCCATAATCAGTTAGACTATCTTCCATTCTTAATAAGTTTATGCAGACCATGGACATGAAAGATATAGTATTCTTACACTATGTGTGTAACCAGAAGGCATATCCTTCAAAAGCTTCATCCCCCAGTCAGTGTAGACTGTAGAATGGAAGATGATGAAACTAACAAAGGATGGCTAATTATTATGGGTGATTAGTTAAATTTTGTTTTCTTTATAGAAAGTTGCTACAGTTGTTTCAGTGTTTCTAATTATAGTTGCCGAGTTGAAATGGATTATTGAGCTGAAAGGAATGTAGCACATGGTGAAGTGTAACAGAGTTGGTTATGGTTTATCACATATCACAAATCAAGGAATGAAAATTTCTCTCTCTCTCTCTCTCTTTGGAAAGTCTCACATCACCTAGTGCAACTTATATATTTGTTGGGTAACTTTCCTCAAGGCCAATTGGTTTTAAAATAAAATCTAACATAGTATCCAATCCTATGACCCATCTTGATAAATCACCTATTCTGGTAGACTTGCTTGTTCAGACAAACATATGTGGAAGGGAGTGTTGAAAGGTCCTACTTCGCCTGCTATAATTATACATATCTGTTAGCCAACTTTGCTAAAGTTCAATTGATTTTAAGATGAAATCTAACATCTCTCTTTTTTGAATGCTCTTCCATTTTTTTTTATTTGGTCATCAGAGGTATATTTTTCTACTGTTTCCCTGGTTGATAGGTTTGATTACTATTCGAATCTTCAAAATTCATGATCAGTTTCTAATTCAGCTATCTCCATGTAAGAGTGATACCTTTATTCCACCAAGATTCATGGTGTCATCAGCCCTCCCTTGTACAATGATATATCCGTCAACTGTTCTCTTGATTATATCTCCATGTCTCCTAAGAACCTGTTAATAAATATACAATGATAGACAATTATACATGACAAAATATAATCATAATAATAGAATAGGAGTAGTTAAAATTACAATTTTAGTTTGTTCTATTACTGTGTTGTTCACAAATAAGGGATTATTGAAAATCTTTAATGGAGGTCTTGCTGATCTACAGTATTTATGGAAATTGATAGCTTGCATAGGTATTAAAGGCATTTGATAACAACCAACCATAAAACATGCTAAGTTCATAATGAAAGATATTTCTATCTTTTCACTCTAACTAGTTTTGATTTTCAATTTGTAATTTTTCAAGGGTGCACGGAGAGAAGTGCTCGTGAAGCAGGGCCATCAAAAAACCTTTAGGATATAATTAATCTTAAAATACTTCCAGATCAGAGGAGAGATGGTATCCTTCACACATGAAAGAATTAATATTTGAAGAATGATGTATTCTAAGCATATTAATTGAATTCCTACCTTCCCTTTGTAAATAGGCATTCCCTTAAAGTAAACCTTCTCATGATCAGCATTAAGCAATCTGTCAGATGCTCCCAGAGAGAGAGGAAATAAGCCCACTTCCCCAACACAAGCAACATCATCTGGCTGTCATATTAGTCAAAGGTTCAAATAAATTAGAAAAACCAAATATAATTTATCTAAACCCATAGATAGGTTTGCTATCATGAACAAAGAACTCAAACTATCAAGATATTTTTCTTACATAAGGAACTCCATTTTCGTCAAAAATGACAAAACCAGTTGTCATTGATGCAGTGCTAAATGCTCCAAAAGCTTGAGGCTGCAGGGGACTTCCTGCAATGTAGCTAGAAGCGAGCTCAGTGCCTCCACACAATTCAATGATTGGACTGTAATAAGCTCTTGAAGAAAGCCACAGATCATCATCAACATTTGATGTTTCTCCAGAGGAACAAAACGTTCTGCCCAAAACCATAGTTCAGTTCATTTTTCATAGTAGCAACTTGATTATTTACAGTTTTACACTACTGAGAGATATTACTTTATCTTTGTCCAATCCAAGCCCTCCATACATTGTGTACTCTTCCAAGCTTTTACTAAGCTTGGAACTGTTCCCAAAATGGTAACCCCTGCATCCTGGACAATTGTAGTTAATAAATTAGGTTGTGCTTTGGTGCAATGTATCAAATTCTATTGATGTAGAATACAACATCTGATGACACTTTCACTTTCATTGCTGTATTAATGTTTGACCTAAGCCCTGTCCTGACTCCCGACTTTATCCAACTCCTTTTGTTGCTAAGCCAAATGCTACAAGTGAGAAATTTTCCTTCTAAAAACAAGTCTTTAACTTCCTTTACTTTATTAGAATATACTTCACCCAACACTCACTTGGATCACATGTAAGCCATTCACTGGTTGATTTGATTAAAGTACGTAGATATTCTAGTGAGAGTTACTTCCTTCACTCTTCTGCCTTGACACACAGGGTGGAACCATGAGGAAGGGTGACAACTTCATTAGTGTACCATGACCTCTAGGCGAAACTAATTTTCCAGGACTATGCTGTAAACAAACAAGAACTTACCATGGGAAGTACTTTTGTGTTGATCCCATGGTCAAAACATAAGAGTTAGATTTCCTACTTCTCATATACCAAACCATATGGCATAACCATTGAATCTTTAGTCCAACATGGCAACACCATATGAAGCAAATGTGAGGGTACACATGCATGTGTGTGCATCAAAACATTCCTGTGTATAGAATACACGTTTCTTGAACACACATGACATATGTAAAGATATAAACATTCTGCTAGATTCTACGCATTGTTGGTGAATGATAAAGAATGGTATATGTAGTACAGTAGTCTCATCAACGGTTTGAGTTTTGAATTGAAAGTTGGGAATAAACAGGAGGTCGATAACATCCTAGTTTTCTAGTTTTCTTAACCACTAACTAGTTTTCTACCTGCGTGTTAAATATTAGAAAGTTCCTTTTCTTTTGGAAAAATAAATTGCATAAGGTAATATGCAAAGACCAAAAATTATAGGTTACTGAGGCAAGCTATTCCTGCT